ACCTAAGAACCTGTTACAAAGCAGCCGTACTTTTGAGTTCTTTGTTCTTATACCACTACATAATCGTATGTGCTAAGCACTTAACAGTACCCTAGGAGGCCCTGTGCTGAATGCTTTACACATATAGTCATATTTAATTGTTAGAAATGGAAAAGAATAGAATGCTTATTCAGGTAATTTTTTCCAGCTACTTAGTCTAAAAATGGTATTTAAATAAAAGCCATTGGAGCCTAAGCTTGTAGGTCATTATGACAGGTACTTGTGTTCAAATTAGCATAATTATCCCTCCTGCTGGCCTTCTAAACATGAATTATTAACACCAAACCTGTTAGGGAAACAATAGACTGAATCATTAGATTTCTTTTTCTTTTCTGGCAGTACTAGAGTTGGAATGCAGGTCTTCGTGCTTGCTAGGGAAGTGCTCTGGCCACTTGACCCATTTACCCAAACAGTTTTGCTTTAGGTTATTTTTCAGGTAGGGTTTTGTACTTTTGCCCAAGGCTCACTTCAGACTGAGTCCTCCTACCTCTGCCTCTTGTATAACTGGATTTACAGACACGAACACCCATGCCTGGCTTGTTTTTAGAGACCAGGCTTTGGCTAACTTTTTTTCCTAGCCTGACTTTAAACCATGATTCTTCCATCTCTGTCCCTTGCATAGCTGGGATTACAGGCATGTACTGTAGTTCCTGTTTTACCAGTTTTTAAATTAGTTTTTATTTAATCATTAACACTCCATGATTAGTTTTTATTTAATCATTAACACTCCTTTCTTGACCTGATAGGAAACTATCACTTTGGTGATTAATGACCAAAGAAGCCATTCTTAAATCTACAACTAATACTCCCCTAGTAATTTTTTTTTAATTTTTTTATTTTTTGGGTCTGGTCGTGGGGCCTGAACTCTGGGCCTGGGCGCTGTTTCTCAGCTCTTCAGCTCAAGGCTAGCGCTCTACCACTTGAGCCACAGCACCACTTCCAGCTTTTTTCTTTTTGCTTATGTGGTGCTGAGGAATCGAACCCAGGGCCTCTGGCATGCAAGGCAAGTGCTCTACTACGAGCCACCTTCCCAGCCCCCCTAGTAATTTTTATAGCAGATATATATTGGACTCTTAGGCTGCTAGGAGTACCAACTACACCAAAAGTTAATAAGGAATGGTAAGTGCAGGTAAGGAGCTCAGGGTCTGGTTATCTTTGTAAACAATCCGAAGCTGGCATTTAAGCTTATCATTACAGGTGACCTTCAAGCCCAGTAGTAGTACCTGCTGCTGGTACTGTTGCCGTGGACACATGCATACATTTAATGAGGGAACTCACAGAAAAATATTTTGAAGTTTATGGATCTGACCTAAGAAGTAAGGTTTAGAGGCGCTTATGTCCAGTGAGAGGCATGTACTTTGAGTCTGGAGCTGTGGCTGCATTTCAGTTTTCAGCTCTAGGTTGCTGGGATTGAGTGCTGTAGAGCATCTCCCACAGTTCCCAGTGACAGAGGTGTTCCTCTGGGTCTGGAAGGCTGCTAAATTGGGGCAGATTTTCACAGTTTGGGGATGCCTTTGATGACCTCTCTAGTCCCACTCACATTTTCTTTTGTGTTCCTTTATGCTGTAAGGCCTAAGATGTGGTTTCCTCCCTTGTTTATTTGACCAGCTCTCAGGAAGGTCATTAAGCAAAGGAACAAGTATGACTGTGTGTCCCCTCCAGGTTCCCGGTGCCTGGCGTGGCGTATGACACACAATAGGCATTTCAGTCTTCTGCATTCCTTTCCACTAGTTCTATTAGCCATGAAAACATGCATCCTAAATATACCCTGTAAATTGTCAACTGACATGTTGAATTGTCACCCCTTTGTACAACTGTTTAAATATAACAAAAACATAATTTTAAAAAAATTAAAAAGGAATGCATTTTAAAAATAAATAGATTCATTCTAAAGATATCAGGGGCCTATTTTATGGCATTTGGTGCAGTAACAGTTGCATTCGGTGTGAATTAAATCTTGTGTATGTGTTTGGAACTTAGAAAGTGAGTTCCTATCCGAGTGCATCTGCCCGGCCGGCCAATGGTGAGGAGTAGCTTGCTGTTGCCCCCTTGACAGCAGGTGCTCCACAGCACTTAGCTCAGCTGCAGGGCGTCATTGTCCTGTGTGGAGATAACCCCCACGTGCTGTCCTCCATCTACCAGGAGCATTGTCCCCTCAGTCCTCTTGTAGTGTTACTTCCCATTCTTACTGAAAACAGACCATCTTAATTTAATTAAATTTAAATTAACTTATCAAACTATAGCTTTCAAATAAATATGGCACTTAATTGAGGGTAGAGAAAAATTGTATCCTACCACTAAAAATAATTTTTAATAAATTGCAAAACCTACCTGGATTTAGCAGTCACTGATTTGAGAAAAAAAAAAAAACTAATATGATTACTGTAATTAAATGATAATTGAGACTTTCCTTTATTCAGCTGTTCAGGGTAACTCCTTCTGAGTAAAAGACTCAGCATTCTATTCTTAAAAACCTGGTCATTTCCTGTTAATTTAGTATTGGGATGGAGCTCTCTCAGCCATACAAGCAGCACTGCTTTCTACCTTGGCCTAGGGTTCATCAGTGTGTGTGGTGAAGGAGGCATCAGCCTCACAGTGCAGTAACACAGTAGTGTATCTGGACCGCTTACTCCAGGTCCCAACAGCTCTTTCTGGAGAGCAGTCTGTGCAATTAGAAAAGCATATAACGTTTTGATGTTCTGAGTGATAGCACATGTCCATTCTTTTTTGTCCCTACTGGAAACAGTGAGATTACAACAGAATTACTTTTTTAATCGATAATTTTTCCAGTCATAAAATACATCAAGAGTTTTCAATTTGGGATGAGAATACCTTCCTTATGTGTTCGCAGGTGAGAGGAGGTGCAACAGGAGATATCTCCATGCCATCAGGAATTTTGTGCCATCTCCTCCTCCCCTACGCCCTTCCCACGCCCTGTGGTGTATTATCATTCCTTAATATGACCTCGCACTATTTTTCCACACACTTTTCTAAAGTTTTTTTTTTTAAATCACTTTTGCATGATTATTTTTTTACCTAGGGGAACTTCAAGGAGAATCTATTGAATCAATTAGCATTGATTTTATTTTAGAGCCTTCCACATTTTATTCATCTCTGTGGTAAAGGGTTGTGAAAATGCCAAGTGCCTTTAAATCTGGGACCTATAACTTCAGGCAATAACTAAGTTGGCTTATCTATGCCAGACATTATGTGATAGAATTTAATGCCACTTATCTGTATAAAGAATTCTCAGTAGACATTGCCTATTATTATTATTATTATTATTTATTAAACTAACAAGTCACTCCTACTGCAGCATTGCCTCCAATTATCCATCCTCAGTTATGAACCTGTTGTCAGTCACTCCTGATGTTCCTCAGTCTAAGCCCTGACTGCCCCCATTGCAGTCACTTCCCAGTGCTGGTCTTAGAGAAGAAAGAACCCAAATGAAGCAATAAAATTGCCCACCCTTTCACAGGCAACTGTGGGTTTATTTATAGATTAGCACAAATTATTATATTATTACTTATATTAGTGCTAATAATTGTACTATTGTTCATAATAAAGTTATTTTATTAGTAAAACACAGTTATTAAAAGTTCATATTTCAAAGCCCCTTTCCAAACTCTTGACACGTTAGCCTTCATTATCTAATAGAAAGCATAGGTAAAAGAGAAACTGGTTCAAGACAGGTGCACTCAGCCCTGCCCCATATATTTTAATTTATTGGGCCATAAGATCCTTTTTATTTTTATTTTTCCTGTGTGCGCTAAAGTAATAAAGGTTGCACATATTTCCTCCGATTTGGGGGCGGAGGAAGGGGGCAAGGTGTAACCGTACAGTAAACATCAGAAGGACCTATGAGGCCTTAGGAATGTTACTGTTGTGTTTTTTGTTTTGTGTTTGGAAGGGCAGTGTTAGGGATTGAATCCAGAATTTTGTACATGCTAAGCACGCACTTTACTGCATAGCTACATACACCCCCCAGGCTTATCTTGTGTGTGTGTGTGTGTGTGTGTGTGTGTGTGTGTGTGTGTGTATGCGTGCCCGCGTGTGTGCTCGCATGTGCTGATACTAGGGCTTTAACTCGGGGCCTCAACTCAGGGCCTCTGACTCTTACGTGGCTTTTTCACTCAATGATGGCAACTTACCTCTTGAGCCTCCACTTCTGGTTTTTTTGATAGTTAATTGGAGATGAGTCTCAAGGACTTTTCTGCCTGGGCTGGACTCAAACTGCTATCTTCAATCTTAACCTCTTGAATAGCTAGAATTACAGGCATGAGTCATCAGCGCCTGGCTCAAGGCTGATCATTTTAAATTTTACTAAATATGTGTTTTTCATATCTCAGCCATAATGGCAATGAAATGGGACAACTTCAACAACAGTATTAAAGGTAGGGCTAGCATTAGCTAAATGAATGAATTTCATGCAATTAAGGATGTCATGAAATGTGACAGTATGACCTTTAAACCTTTTATTAGCTGCTAATTTTAATTTGTCACAGAGATACACTTGGTAGTTTGGCATACAACATAAAAAGACCTTTAAGATGGGTGATGATCCCAAGAGCACTGCTTATGGAGATTAAATTAAAGTGCTATAGAAATTATTCTCAGGCTTTCTTGTAGATAAGGTTGTAAATACTTAATGAAAGTACTAAGGCAAGAATGTTTCCTATAATGAGTTGGAACTTTAAAGCTTTCTTTTCTTTCACCCCCCCCTTTTTTTCAGATCATGTTGAGTGTGTATTGCTTGTATCATTTTTTTTTGTTTGCACTACCACTTATATATATATATGTCATAAGATTGCTTGAATATTGCAATTCATTTTTGTATGTTTTAAATGCCCCACATGCTTTCCATATTAAAGCATACTCAGCCTACTTCCAACTTTGCTTACATTAATACTGAGTACTTTTCTGAGCTACATGGTTAATAATGTTGCTTTTAATCTCAACAGCCTCAAGTACTACAGCCTTCCAGCAGCCTTCCCAGACCCACAGACCACGCCCAGGGAAAACTAACAAGGCCACAACGTATCGAGGCCCACAGTGAATGTGCAAGCCAGGGTGTGCATCAAGGTGCTGCACATCCCGATGGAAGCTTTCCATGTGGCTTACAAGAAAACAACTATGATTTGGAAGACCGGCCTGTTTCCTTAAGCCCACACGTCAGGATGGATGTGGCAAAAAGTATATCTGACTCAAATTTGACCATGACCGTGAGTGCTGAAGAGCCTTCTCATTTGGCAAAGAATCAAATAATTGGTGAGATGCAGTTTGGACCCACTTCTCTTCCGACACCTCGCCAGACGAGTACAGCAGAGCAGGCTAAGAGAGTTGGAAGAGATCCGTCTCCGCTGGTTGGCTACTTGTCTCAGCCCAAGTCCTCACATCTTCTAAAGCCACCCGTCTTGAGTTCTTCGGCACCTCCTCCAGACAATGAATCATCTGCAAGTAGGACTCTAGGTTGTAATAAGCCACCCATCATCACAGCTCATTCAGCAAAGCTTCAGCCCACATCTAGTCAAACAAATCTTGCAAATAATCCGAATCTGAAAGCATCTAAGCTCCGCCCTCCTTCCAGCTCTTTCAGACAGAAACAAATAAGCAGCCCCCGCCTCGAGCCTCAAAGCTTGCAGGCCAAGACCAGCATCCCCAGGCCACTGGCAAGGCACAAAGAAATCATGCCGAATCCAAGTGGCAGTTTGCATTCTGGGGATCCTTCGGCCTCTAATCGATATTCTCGTCTTCCTAAACCAAAGATACATTAAGCACATAGCCAATGTCTGCCAGTTTGTGTTTTTAACAGCAGTCTGTTCTGTAATAGCTTTATGTGCTGTGTGCCACCACGTTGGAGGTTCCGTTGAAAGCTTGCGAAAACCTTAACATTAAAATGTGGAAGCTTCTACTCCTTTGGCTGATCCATTTTATATCTTGGTTCAAGTAGTACCATTCGAGCACACTTGTCTCAGGTCTGCCTGCCCATCTCAGAGGGCCACTGTAACATCTGCCTGTGCTGTCCACTCTTAGCAGGCAAGACACGTGCTTTGCTGACTTAGTCCTGTCTCCGTATTGACTGGTTATCAGAACCCCGCCTCAGTCCACGATGGCTACTATTTTAGCTTACAGCATGGTGATAATGGAAGATGATAGTCTGTAAGCAGAGTTATGGCCAGTGTTTTGTATATTTGAAAGGTCTATGCAAAAGCTTTGTGATGAATAAAGATCCGGCTTTTAATGGGAACTTGATGTCAGCTTTATTTCTTCTTACCTAGGATCAGCAAGCTAGTCTTAACTGTTTATTCATTTACCAGACAAATTCCCTAGGCTGACAATATTCAATAGTATATATGTATAAACTGCTGGTCTGTCAGGTTGACATCTTGTTTTTGTCACATACATATGCCATTTGTGCTTGTACTGTGTACATATTTGGAGAGTTTGAGATACACCTTGAAACCTATGCCGAAGGTGTATCCGCTTGTAGCCTGTGTTGGTGCTAGAGTTTTGCTGGCTGTTCAGGTTTGAAACCTAGTCTAGGCCTATGGATCTATCATAGCTGTTTCAAGGTTCCACAGCATCTATATTAAATTAAATCACTATTGTAATATTTATATTTATTGACTTTCTGCTAATATCCGAAGACTGGAATAATGGACTTGAAATACTTGCACAAAATTCTGATGGGCTAGAAGTTCCCCCGTTATGTAGGACTTCCAGCTTATTATTTTCTATAGAAAAAGAAGTTAAAATATTTTGACAAAAAAGATAAAGTGAAGTAAACTCTTGAAAAAGTTAGAATTCATAAGAGCTTTGCTTTTCTCAATTTCCTAGGTTGCCCTTTTCTGTTGGTGTATGTTTAAGTGACAGTCTCTTGAAAAGTAGATTTGGCAAGAATTGTGTACAGGAAATTGTGTTTCATTAAGAAGTTTTAAAAACTGGATGCTGGTGGCTCATGTCTATAATCCTAGCTGCTCAGGAGGCTGAGATCTGATGTTCACATTTCAAAGCCGGCCTGAGCAGGAAAGACTGTGAGACTCTCATCTCCAGTTAACCACCAAAAAGCCATCAAGTGTTAAAGCACCAACTTTGAGTGAAAAAGCTGAAGGGCAATGCCCAGGTCCTGAGTTCAAGCCCCAGTACTAGCACCAAAAATAAAGTAAATAAAAAGTTATGAAAAGGACATTACAAGGGCAGTAGCTCGTTTATTTTAATGTGCTACAGAAAAGAGCTGTGGAACCTACAAGCAATCATGTGCCCAAACTCAATCATGTCATCTTCAGGCTGCCTGGCCTTGGCTGCTTTAAATGGAATATTCATCAGAGAGCCTTACCAGGTCAGGGTTTGATTAGCTGATACAAAATATATTAAAAAAGCAATTAAAGCCCCAAAAATTGTCACTCAATTTTCTAGGTATTCCTTTAAAACACCTACATTGATGAAATTGTTTATCCATGTAATGTAACCAACAGTTGTAAGTGCTTTAGTGGGAATTTCCAAAGAGGTAATCGCTACCATTGTGATGCAGTGGTCCTCTCTTACCTGTCAGAAAACCATCTTGGTGAGTGTGTTGTGCAGTGATGCAAACGCTTCTTGGATTTGGTAATAAGGAAAGGGGCAGCCCTGGCCCACCACTGCACTTGTGTCTGCCAGAGAAGTACTGAAGTTCAGAAAAACATTCATTTCCTCCAGATACTGCCAGTGTGCTGTCAGGGGTTGGGTCAGCCCAGCATGCATTTGCTGTCTGCTTATGGAAGTGAGCCAGGATGGCCACAGCTGTGTGTGGTAGATGGGATCTTTCATCTTGATGGAGAAAGAACACTGCAAGTAGGGTGCTATAGTACTTTATTTCCCTGAAGTAAAACATACAAATGAATTAGTAGAATGTTTTATTTACATAGAAGTTGGTATAGACCCCCATGAAATATTATTAACAGGTTGTTTTTTAACCTTTAGGGGAAATGATTTTCAATTTTTAACTTATGTTTTAACCTCCTGGTCTGAGAAAAATATTCTTATTTTCTACTATGTAAAAATATTGACTCCAATTATTTGGTGTTTTGTTTTTGTTTTTGTTTTTGTTTCTTCCCTGACCAATTGGCAGAAATATTAACCCATCAGTTTAGCTTCTTTGTACCTTTGCTGAGCCTTAACCTTGGCAGAAGATCCGCTCCTGAATACAATTTAAGAGAAAACATACCTAGGACGCTTCCATGGACAACATCAAGTATTTACTGCATAAATCGTGTGCTCCTTAGTAAATGTGAAGTAGGATGGGGAAGTGCGGGTGGAGCTGTGTGTCACCCAGAGCGTACCTTCTCCGATTTGGCTCCATCTGCCTAACAAACGTTGTACCACATCCTTACCCACAAGAATTTTAGGCTCCTTGTTCTCCTCATTCCTGTGGTGTCAGCACAGGTGGTGGAAATGTATGAATTCTAAATCGTGAGGGGGAACGTGAATGCAGTTGGTTAAGTTTCACATTGGTGAGAGAGAAAATTGGACAAGAAGGCAGAATTAAACATTTGGCTACTGGTGGGATGCTTAGCAGTATTTTAAAGGAAGCTTTCCCTAAGGAGTTTAGTAGTATAAGTATAGATTATTTTGAAATACAAACATCAAACCAGGGATTAGAGAGCTCTATATATTTCGAATGTTTTCTAAATAACAGACCATTGAACATTTTCCTTTTGGAGTCTCTTTTTCTTTGTGCAATATTTTCAAGCCTATAGACTACTATTCATTGTGTAGATATTATAGGGATCTTACTATTTTAAACCAGTAAAAAAAAAAGTCTATGAAAGAAAATAGCAGATTTGCACTTTAAATGAGCTTAATTGCTTGGAGCTGTGCCTGAAATATCGAAAATGCCTCCTCTTGGGTGTGGCTTAGTTTCATGGAATAATTCTCTGTAATTTGTTGCTATTTGAAGATACAAGTTCACCGTTCACAGAGTTCTATCCCCAGCATGCCACTTTTCCCATGAAAGCACTAAGTTTTTGAATCTTCCATTGTCCCCTGTAGTATTTGTTCTACTTGGTGCACTCAGAGAGTCTGTGACCTGCTACAGCTGTCACTTCCCCCACGTTCCTGTGATGATGGGCAGTAATCCAGACCCATTTGTGCCTGGGATTCCCAGCAGGGTTGACCTGCTGGCTTCCTGGGCTCCAGGCCACCAGGGAAAGCACTTTGCAGTTACCACACAGGCTTGTGTACCCAAGCCCAGTTGGACTGCTACCCTGTCAGCAGCACCCTCTCTGTCCATCTTAACACATCAGGTTTCACATTGCTAAGTTAATTTGGGTAGTTATGTTTGCATGCTTATGTACACATTTGAAAATTAATGATCACGGTAGCACAGGTTTGTCCTCAGGGCTAACAGCCTTGCTGTTTTTCTTGATGCTTGAAATTATACTTTCTATTATTTCCCTCTCCCCTTCCCTACCCCACATAGCCCTTTGATTTTCCTGCTGTAGCAACCTGCGAGAAGAGTGCATTTGGATCCGTGGCGATGACAGTGAGCAACCAGTCTATAATTATGTTACTAATTAAAGATACTTGTCTGTTGGAAAGAGCTTCCTCTGCCTTTGGCCGTGGTGTAAAGCATTGCCCTAAGAAAATACTGGCCTAGAGAACTGAAAATCTATGTCATGACTGGTGTCTTTGTGTCATGACTGATTATAAACAAATAGTATCAGTGGTGTTTTCCCCATGGATTTGAGAAGCCAGTTCAGAGTACATACTGTATATTAGAATTTGCCTGTAAAATGAATTATACAAACCCAGATGTAAAGTCTCTTGAAAATGTTGGCATAGTAAATTAAAAAAAAATAAAAGTTCATAATTATGAAGGTGCTTTTGTCTTTCTTCACAGTTCATATTTTCCCCTGATAGTTTTTCTTCATGAAGATACCATTAATTTGCTTGATGTTTTTCAAATTCTTATTCCCTTTCTTCCACACACGTAACCTATCAAGCCCTGATGATTAGGTAGGAATTGAGAAGGTTTTCCTCTGTTTTCACAGATTCTGTCAACCTAGTATTCTGTTTCATGTTAATAAAATTTCTGTTTCATCTTAGGAAAAGAACTGGGACAATAGGTAGAGAATATTTTAAAAAAACAGCACCTTTATTGGAATGTTATATGATGGGAAAACATCACCATTGCTTTGCTCATTTCTAAACATTGTACATTTCATTACAAAATACTTTGAAACAAATTTAGGTCAAGTTAACAGAAGTTGGGAGAACAAAAGGAATGGAGAATTTATCATTTTTTTCCAGTTTAATCAAGTGTGATTATATAATGTAGAAAAAGTTAAGTTGCTAACATGTTACCTAATCGGGAAGGGGTTTGCATATGCCAGAAAAAGCATGGAGGAAACTTCATTATAAAACTTGACCATGGTATTTACTGCTGTTTAAGATACCAGTAGTGACTTCAAGGCCATCTGCATTATTACCATGCTTGAGAACTGCCTCAGATTTACCTTTTTATTCAGTCAAATAGGGCGTTTTTGTTTCTTCATTTGCGTTGTTTATTTTCCATTTGGAAAATGTACTGAAGCAAGAGTTCGTAGTTGAGTGTTGACTCGGCTGGAGTTACATTGGTGGGACGTCTCACGTGTGCTAGTCGCTGCTGTGTCCACGTGGAGGACAATGAACAAGGCCATGGCCTGGAGCCTGTGGACTACAGCAGTTCTTAGCATCCTGGTCAGGAGCAGCCCTTCCCTCCCTTTTCTTTGCCTTGGTTACCTGCCATTTGCTGTTGAACACACAGTAAGCTGCTCTTCACCGATATCATCCCATTTGTCTTTAATTCTCATGCACCTGTCTCTCTGCTCCTGTGCTTAATCTCAGTTTACACGCTTGTCCATCTGAAAATCTGACCTTTTTTACGTCTGATTTCATTCCAGGAACAATATTCTAGCAGTGCTGGGAATTAGTAAATATTCTGCCTTCTGCTTCAGGGTCTTAGAATTTAATTTTGAGGAATCTCAATTGTCCTATGATACCTTTCCTTTTGTTTCTTCCTGTTCCATTCCCTTGTTTACATAACATCCAGATATTCTGAAATACCTGTACTTTGCCACGGGGTCTCTGAAGAGGGGCTTAGATCATCCTCAAGGACCTTCTCATTGGTGAATCCTCACTCCCACAAAGCTACACACACACATAAACAAATAATGGAAGTGGGGGGGGGGGAGAGAGGAGATTGATTTTCTCAGAGGAACTTCTCTGACT